CTGTGTCTTCTAAACTGTTTGAAAGCAGTTCCTGGAAGACAGGCTTGGTGGAACAGAGAAGCCCTGAGTGCCACACAGCTGTTCACAGGGACCCAGTCAGTACTGGGGTTGATCAGGCTGAGGGCAGTGGAAGGGAGCCCCAAACAGGGCCTGTGTGTAGGCATACCTCACGTCCCAGAGCCTAGATGATGGTGCCTGGGGTCAGAAGCTTGTCGGTATCCACGAGTTTTAATTAACACTCAGATACTGCAGCTAATGTCAACTTCTGAGTGACTTTTTTTTTTAAGCTTTAAAGATTTTTACTGCTATTAAAATGTTACTACTATAATAACTGGAGGCTCCCATGAGCTGTTTTCACAAGAGGTATCCATGATAAAGCTTGTCTGCCTTGCTGTACCCTCAGCTCGCCCTTTTCCATCGACTGCACCCCACTGTTCTAGCCAGAACAGGCTCATCAGAGTGCACCTCAGCCTTTATCTGTCTGGGATTTCCCTAACTGCCCAATGCACGGCCAGTGTTTGTTGCTAAATAAACCTGCCCTGTATTAAGACTTACTATATGCTGAGTCCCATGCACAGGCATGAGAAGACATGCGTCACAGATGCTGATTTCAGTGAGTGACAGGTATGTAAGTAGGAAATGGTGATGCAATAAGAGGTATTTTATTGATGCTGCATCCTCTTGGATCTCCTTTTTTGTTTGCTTGCTTCTTTTGAGGTAGAATCTCTCTATGTAGCCCATGCTGGCCTTGAACTCTTGGTAACCTCCTGCTTCAGCCTCCCAAGTGCTAGGATTACAGGCATGAGTGCCATGCCCAGCTGAGATACAATAGACTTACAATGGAACATTTCAGTCATATAATGTAAGTACCCTTGTCTGTTCCTATGTAACCCTCTTAAATAGGATTTCATGTTGTTTTCTCTTGGTTCTTTTGGAGGTTTTGAAAATGGACACAGGTCCTTGTATGTGCCAGGCAAGTTTCTGCCTCTGAGCTACAACCCAGGACCAACTCAATCATTTTTTTCCATTTCCCCTTTCCTTTCCC